TTTACATCTTAAGGGGAAAATCAAAGGTTAAAAAAACATAGGTTAAACATAGGTTAAAAAATTTAGTTCTGAAAAGTGCAATCTCCATTATCAAATCTTTTCTAGTGTACTCTTTCCACACACATGAAAATATACATACACATATACCTTCATTATGATACATGCATATACATATATTCTCTATGCAGTTTAGTAACATAATTAGCATCTTGTACATTTGCTCCAGCTGAAAATATAATATTATCTTCCCCCGGTGATTAATCCTTAATTTGTTATTGATAATGAGAGGGTGGGATAATGACCCTAATGACATCTTGAAAAGTACCAAAAAACTTCATTATCTTTTCAGCAGAGTGTTGACCAAGTATTATAGTGAAAGATTCATTTGTCATCTGTTTCCTGGACTCGGTGGGAGGGGGGGGATGAGTGAATATATCTAGAAATAGGGGCTGGATGTGGGATTTAAAGGCAGTCAGTCGAAATAAAAGAAATAAAAGGATATAAAGCCTGGATTCTCTATGAACTGACCAGTTCCTGAATAAATCAAGAGGTAGTTTTGCATTAAGGAATTAGAAGTGTCATTTCCAACTTGCGACTGCTGCAAATATTGGATGCTACTCACAGTTGGTTTTCAGAGCACATGGAGTAAGCCAGAATTAAATGGAAGGCTGGGAGAACATCACCTATTCTGAATCCCTTCCAAGTGTCAGTGGCAAAGAAGATGCTGGTGTGAGCACAGCAATCTTCTGACCGCCTTGTACTGGTTAAAACACTGGTCAGAAAACAGATGCAATCATGCTGGAAGCAAAAGCAGCCAATGGGGAAAAATAAGAGTGAAGACAAGAAAGAGCCTGTTTGCATTGCAAGTTAAACATCACATCAACTTTTCTGAACTACGTCGGAGCTTTGGAAAGCAAGCAAGCAAGCACATGAAATGTGTTTTGAAGCTTTTAAATGTAGGTTAATACGCACCATGTGCTAGCTTGTATTTTGAAAGGCTACTAGAAGAAATAAGCCATTATTAAAAAGTACTTATGGAAAACAAATACCTCCAAATCTCTTCATTAAATTATAAATGACAAACTAATTAATTTATCTCTACACAGTTAAAGAGAAAGTGTTTATCTTTTTCTCCAACCTCAGCTGCCAGAAACACAACACTGTGATAAACACTTTGTCTTGTAGAAGAAACCAAATGTAATTTTGTGAACACAAGACATTAAGGACGAAAGAAACTGGAAGCTTCTGAGAGAAGAAGATACAAGCAACAGCACTTGGAGTTGCCCACCAGCAACACCAGTTACAGGTCCCTAAGCCTGGCTGCTTGCAAAAGCTTTGAGATCTTTCCTAGGTTCATCCCCGACTTTGCTATCACCACTTGGATCCGCGGAGTGGAAGTGGTAAAAGTTGCCACCGCCTTCCAAGCTCAAGAAATTCTGAAAAGCCATAATAAAGTTATATTTTACATTTTCAGTCACTTGGCTCCAAATGTGACTTACAATCACCCCATAAAGTAAATAAATAAAAGTAAGGAACACTGTTTAAGAACAGAAATAAGACCTCAAGGCAGATGCAGACAGCAATGACTAACAGCAGCTAGTGGGGTCTACATACTGCGTGAAGAGGGATGAACGGGCTGACGAGTGTGGACACTTCCCATGCAGACCGAACATGGGCTGTCAATCAGCCTGCCCAAATATCGGCACGTGTATCCCTTCTACATCGATATAGATACTCAGCACTGTGTTTGTGCCCAATTAATAGCATTATTTCAGCTGGGCCCTACTAGTGACCATCAAATGCACTTGTATAAAACAAAGGGAAGAAAATCCAGCGGCAGTCTACGATGGTCTTCATGGGACAAAGTCTTGCCCCCAAGTTGACAAAGTCGATATTTTATTTTCTCAATCCTTTGGATATTTTTGAAATAAAACATAAGGCTAAATGATACATTTGCTCTCTGTTTCAGCCTGGATGCAATTGATTTTAACTGACTAAATGATTTGATCTCTGCCAAGGATTTTATTTCATTAAGAAAATGATATTAAGGAGCATCTGAGATCATGGAGCAGACTAAACATAATGCCAAAGGAGTTCTGAGAATGTGCCACAGTGAAGGTTTGATTATTTGCAGATGGGCTACAGAAAAGAAAAAGAAAGAAAGGAAAAAAGAAAACTCAGGTCCCAGGGGCAAGCCTAACCAACCCTGGTACCATTGCTGCCTGCATCCCAGCACAAAGCCAAGGAAATAACTCATCTTTTATGCCACAACGCCTTTTTCTTTAAAGTAGTAATCACTTTTTCCCCCTAGAAGGTAATATTTAACTGCCACTATGCAAAACAAAGGGCCAAGGGGAAATGTTGGTACCACAATGGGCTCTAGCATGTCAACTGTCATTCCTGAAACGATCTGGCTGGTAGTCAGGCATTCACAGAAAGAAAAAAAAGAAAAAAAAACTAATTTAAATCAATCTCCTTTGGAAAAGGCAATTGTTTGGTATGCACGACAATCGGTGTAGGATCAATCAGTGGGCATGAGATCAATTAAAACCAGCTTAAGTTTGGGAAGAGGGGCAAGTCACACAACTTGAGTTACATCTCTATTCGTTTCAATATTCTCACAATACAAGCCTTAAGCTTCCTTGCGGGGCAGAAAGGCTACTATGACCCTGCACTGTCTAGCCAGCCCTGTAAGTAGTTCCACTTTTAATTAAAAACACAGTGCACCCTTTGTTGGCACAGATAGTGTGGTCACTTTAAAAAAAAAACTGTAGTTATTTTAGGCATAAACTTGGGATTCAGGAAGAGACATCTGTTGTGGAAGAGAAGAAAGCCAGAAACATATTTCGATGGGCATTTTTAAAACAGCCATCCTGATTGACATGTACTCAAAAGCCTTCAGACTTTGTGAAATGACAAAGTTGATTTGGCACAAATTGCTGTTGCACACTTTCTAATTGGTTTTTTTAATGTCAGGGTTTGTGACTGTAGATAGCAACGGCTACAAGTGATTTTGCTAAAGCAAGCACCGAAAAAGAAAACAGGTTCTAATTCCAATACCCAAGAAGAAAAGTACAGGCAGAGAGCCAAGGAGATGGCCCTATAGGAGAAATAAAAGCATGCAGTATCGCTTCTGGCCGCAGGAGTGCTACAATGCCATTCTCCACCAAGCAACATCTCCGCATTTAAGTTCTCAGACAATGTGCTTAACTCTTTGCCACTCAGGCACAGGGGCCAGCAATGGGAATCAGAACTCCATTGCTGAATTAGTAAGTCATGTAATAATCAAGAATGTTCCAAGGAGCTTTAGATACTTCTCTATGTTGCAAACTTGATGCACTCTAGTGTTTCCAATGAAATTCATTACAATTCCAGTTTTTTAACAGCTGGGGTGGCTTCTCCAAACACTTTGGAAGACAGTATAATATAAACTCTCCAACTCTGCCAAATAATGCCTGGAAATATAATAATGGCACAGAGAAAAGAGCCCACTGGAAGGGGTGAGCTGGAGAACCACTTTCCAAAGACAGGTATCAACATGAAGGTCTTACAGCCTTTGGAGAGGACTTTCTCTCCTAATGCTTCTATATGCAGTAATCTCTGAAAATAAGAAATATTTTACAAGTGTCATAAATGAAGCTGATAAAGGCATGGGCTTGAGTATGTGTGTCCTTTTTAATAAGCCAGAGATACATAGCAACGATTAAAAACACTGGTTCCTGAATCATCATCATCATCATCATCAGTGACCCACAGCTTTGCTCTGACACAGGCCAAGCTCTTCAGTTGATGAGATCAGCTTAACGCCTCCCAAACTGTCAATAATAGTGATGATAATAATATAAATGTCTTCAAAACTAGCTACAGGGCCAGAGTCCTTAACTCACCAGAAATGGAGACGTTTATAGACTGGAAAAACAAAACCAAGGTCTCCAAACCATGACAAATTCTAACTGTGCAAAAGACCAAGCTGGTAGTCAGAGGCAACTGACTCTCCTCAGGTGCTAACAAAAGGCTGTTGTACAAAACTCTACGCTGGTACTTCATCGTTATGCCTGTGTGGTTTATGTTTAAGTCCCTCCAGAAGACTGCATTGTGTCTGGCAGCACATGCTCTAAACTGCACTTGCCTTTGCCACCGCCCCCCAGAAGGACTGGAAGACAGAAGTACAGAAATACGAGCACTCTAAAGTCGAATTCTCTGCAATCTTTCTGGAGGCTTCCATCTGCCTTCACCCCTCACAAAAGTGATGGAGAAGTGAGCATTTAGAAAGTCTCAAGTGAATTTCATTGAGGACAAAAACCCTTCTCCAAAATAGCCGCTCTGAGACAGCAAACAAACTGGGCAACATGGGTCTGTTTTTAAAAACATTCCCGCTGCAGGGGAGAACTCCCGGAGAACGCCAGTGCAGGAGTTGCTACTTAATTCATTAAGCTCCCATTTCTTCTCGGGTTCCAGAAAAAGAGAACAGTGTTGCTTTTTTTCCTTAGCAACTCAGGTTCTACCAAGCAACTTGACCATTCCTCCCCAACACCGCCGCCCCCGCCCCAAACACACACCCCCACGCCAGACCATGTCTAAAGCTATCTTGGGCAGGATTTAGGGCGCACGTGGGTCGGGAAATTAAGGACTCTTGCACTTCGAGAAAGATGATTAAAAAGACAAAAGAAAAATGGATGTCACATAAGAAATGTCACAAAGAAGAGTTCAAGAGAGATGGCACAGACTGTGGACCACAGGATGAATCCCTGAGCGCTTGCGGGAGAAAAGCCCAACTCACCGGGCTCCCTCCCAGCTCTTCTCTCTGAGTCTCACCGCGCCTAGTAGGGGCAGAAGAAAGCCTTCTGCGGAGCACTGAGACCCTGAGAGTGGGCAGTTGTAGCCCACACAAGAATTGAGGTCCCCATATTTGGGGTCCTAAAAGCCTAGGTGTGAATGAGCACTCCCGACACTCCCACCTATTCAGGAACCCCACGCACCTTCAGCCGAGAGCGACCCACCTCGTTTATTGCGTCTCCATCGGTTGCCTTGGCACTGGCTGTAATCCATACAGTTCAGAATGATGAGGGCAAAAGAGAAGAGGCGAAAACGCATCTGGACGGTCGGGCTGGGGAGAGATGCCTCTCAAAGTCGAGGAAACGCGGGGCTCCTGCGAGGAGACAGTGCGGGTTGCGCTCCTTAGGGAGGATTCGAGACAGATGCCACTGGCCCTGTAGCTGCAATGATCAGTTTGGCTCGCTGAGCATCTCTCCCTCCGCCGTGAACCTGGGAAACGGGGAAAGAGAAGCAGGGTGGGTGGGGGATCGAGAGAACCCAGAGGAGGTACCGGCACCTTCGCGCCTCTTGATTTAAAGAAAGGAGGGCGGGAGGACGCGAACTCACTGGCACGAGCCACGGAGCAGTTTAAGGCAGGGCAGATAGCACAGCTGCAGGCGACTCAGAGAGGAAGGTGATTACAATCAGTGAATTAGTAACCTCTGCTGCGCAGTGGCTTCTGACCCTGGGGAAAGGGCGTTGTGCGGAAGAAAAAGCGTCCTAAGAGCACCGGAGCGCAGGGCTTTAAAGGGGCGCTCTTGAGCCCTTCGCGCCCGGGTTGGGCTATCCCCGCGCCGTGGCACCAGGTGTGGATCGCCTACCGTGCGCGCGTGTCTCAGGCTGCACGGCGTGCCTAGGCGCGGCGCTCCATCCCAGGCTCGGAAAGCGAGCCGGGCTGTTTGGTCAGCACGTGGGCTCGGAAAAAGTTTGCCAACACCCGCCGAGAGCTCTTGGCAGCTATAGGATTCGGCCGGCTGCAGCAGGGTCCGCGGACCCCGAGGGTCCTCAGGGTTGGCGGCGCCTGGCAGGAGCGCGCAGGCGGGCAAGCGCGACCGCAAGCACTGGGATGCTAGGTCTCCGCCCGCGAGAGCGATTCCCCGGCGAGGGGCGCGTCCGCTCTCCTCTCGGCGTCCGGGTCCAGTCGCTGCTTCCAGGGATCTCTCCACCACCACTTCACAGCTGAGGTTTCTCCCTGCCCGCGCTGGGGAAGACAGGACACTGCCCGGAGGCCGAAGGGATGTGGCCAGCACACTTTCCGATGGAGATGCAGACAAGCTAAGGCTCGGGATGCTTCTATAAGTAGGTGGTGCTGTGGTCCAAGGCATCTAAAGCCAGGCTGCCTCAGAGTTCCTGGGTCCTAAAGCCAGAAACGCTCGTTCGGGTTTCCCTGAGGTCCTAAAGAGCACTGACAGCATGCAGAGAGCCTCACGCAGGAAGAAATGCTCACCAGGCTTTCACAGACGGATTGTGCAAGCTGGACAGTACCTAGAGTGAGGGAGAGGCCCTGGCCTTGCTGTTCATGCACAAGGCGTCCTCTCCGAAGCTCTGGGCTCACCTCACCATTAGCAGTTCTACAAGAGAATCTGATGAGAAACTGAAGATGCCTTCTGGACACTGCTTCCTGAGCTCCTGGCTGGGACTGCTCCTTCTGAAAAACAGAGTTTAAACTTCAACCTCTTTCTTTTCTTTTCTTTCTTTCTTTTTTTTTTTTTTTGACATGAAGACACACCTCTGCCCTTTTTAAAGTTTAATCTCAGTCTGCAGGCGGACTTCCCCAGATCTGAGAGCAAGACTAAATCTCACTTTAGGGAGTGAGATTTAGTGTTTCTCCTCTCCTCCACCTTTCCTTGCAACTTATATTTTCTTGACTTTACTTTTCCCCCAAGAAATTTCACGAAGATGTGTGATACTTTGCAATACCCCAAAAGAAAAGTTTATTTCCCACTGATGCATGTTTTATTCTTAATCCTTACTCCTCTTGCGTCTTCCAAGGTGTGAATTAAACTTTTAGATGCCCTGGGTTTGGAAAAATACCTTCATTAAATGTGCTAGGTGATGCCTATTTTATTCTAGTGAAATCATCTGTCCTATATTCATTACTATTGGAAATTGTCTATTTCTCCTTTGAGTGAAAGATAAGAATTTATAATGCTAAATGAAGCCAGATGGCTGCCTCTTTAGACACATTGTAGGCACATTATTACAGTGGCTTTTTAGAGGCTGGTGATTGGTTTTATTTGGAGACTGGATTGTAGCCCAGGCCAACCTGGAACATATCATGGTAAGGCTGGCTTTGAACTCCTGATTCTTCTACCTCCGCCACCTAAGAGCTACCATGACAAGTGCATGCCCCTAGCCCAAGCTCTACAGTAACATTTTATCCTATTTCAATTCCCTTTTTCATTCCTTCAGTTTCTGCATATACTCTGAAATTTGAGGTGAAGAATCATATAGAAACAATAGGGCTGTTAGTAGCCATATTTGTCAACTATTCCATTATTGCTTTATCCACAACAATTTTACTGACATCACTGCTGCATAGTAACATTCCTATTCTGGGAATTCTGGTGCCCAAGAACACCTAAGTAAACCTGGGTTTGGTGCCATTTCATTGAAGAAAATTGAGCCAGGACACTTGCCCACAGAGTACAAACTTCTGATCAGACATATAACAGAAGCAGTTACTTTGATCCAGCTTACCTAATCTTGGACTCTTTTATTTAAAAATATATATTTATGTATTTACTTTAAGTGTATGGGTGTTTTGCTTGCATGTATGCAGATGCCTGTATACCTGATGCCTTCCACGACCACAAGAGGGTATCACATCCCCAGAGACTGGAGTTGGACAGTTGTTGGCCAACATATGGATGCCGGGAATCGAAACCCTGGTCCTCTGGAAGAGCACACAGGTGTTCTTAACTGTTGAGCCCTCTCTCCATTCCCAATCATTGACATTTTATCACAAACCTTGGCAATGACTGGAAACAACTTAGCATTCATAGTTCCCCCTCCAGCTTGACAAATGCCACTCTCTCCTCCCCTCCAACACACTCACGTGCACACACCGAAACTGCTGCACGTGTTAGGGTAAAATTCAAGGGAGGAAAAAATGCTTTCCTTAATAACTCCCTGGATGCCAGCATTGCTCTGACACACACTAAGATTGACGAACTTATCAGCGTCCATTGAAATGAGCACAAGGCTGAAATCGTGCAGCGCTCCTATTCCTGGGTTGGTCTAGGCAATCATCCGGATCTCAGTTTCTTTGACAGTGTTTTCAGGAAATTAGATTAAGTTCTCTTTTACCTCTTGTAGCCAAAGTCCATTTTTTTGGAGGAATTTGCTATAGGGCCTACAGAGTTTGAGAGCAAAGCCATCAGTGAATGGATTCTCCATAGGAGAGAGGCATTGTCATCCTGAATTAAGTCTGTGAATGACTTTCAACTGTATTCCTCCAATGGTTCAGAATTCTACTCTTGGTTGCCCTGTTTTAACCAGAAATATTTTTACAATGGTGAACCTCTGGGTTCAATGCGCAAGAAAAGTATTTAGCATGTCGAATGTGTTTAATATTAATATTAAAATAGACTCTGGAAGAAGAGAAAGTGGCTGAGTACTTTTTGATGATATCCTGGTCTCTTTCTTCATTGTAAATGATAGAAAAGGATAAAAGGGGGAAGATTAAAGTGTGTCACACATGTGGTATTCAAAATCTCAGGCATCATTTCTAATGTAAACTTACCTATACACATTATTTTCCCTGCCCGCCCCTCCTCGGGGTGTTTATTTCAAGAATCTAAGCTTGTTCCCACTTAGAAATTGCAGCCTTGGTGGATCTGAAACTCTTCTGGATTTTCACCTGATATCCTAGCTTCCTTTCATCCCTAAGATTAGAATGTGCTGTTGTTGGGGCTCATGGCTCACAGTCATTCCATTCTGGAGACTAAATGGAACTCTTCTTCTAGCCGAGCTTATAGGGTGGTTTGGTTATGGAGCTGCTTTGTAAATACGTACATGCCCAGAGATGTACACTGAGAAGGCTAAGTCCACACCATTTACTGGTGACAGAAAAGCTCTTTTCCTTGGAATCAATTTCTTCCTGAATAACTTTCTGAGTTTTAAGTAGATTTCCAGAGATGAAGATGGTGCTTATCAGTCAAGTGTGTGTATTTGTGCAAGTTATATTCTTATCTTTAAAAGACCTCTCTCTCTCTCTCTCTGTCTCTCTCTCTCTCTCTCTCTCTCTCTGTCTCTCTCTGTCTCTCTGTCTCTCTCTCTCTCTCTCTCTCTCTCTCTCTCTCTCTCTCCACCCCCAGCTACAAGGTTGTGAGAACAGGAATGTGAAATGTCCAAGATGACAGGCAGATAGCTTAGATTTTCAATTCTTTCAAAAGAGCATTATGTAAAAGCTCTCACTCGTCCCTCCCCCGGGCAGCCTGTTCTCTTTCTTAGAGTTATTTTTGTATCATTCCAAGTTTTGAGTAGATGTCCAATGCTTCTAAATACTTTAACCATTTTTCTGTGCTTGACAGTCAATATGTATCTACTCACAAATGTGAAAGTCTGTGTATGTACACGTGTGCTCTTGCTCGTCTCTCTTTCACCCAGTCCTTCTTTATGGAGCTAGTTGGATACTGTAGTCACAGATGTAGACCTCGATGTGTTAAGTGTGTTTTCCAGAATGTTCCTTATCCCTTCAGTGTTCCTTCTTCTTTTTATGCCATCCCACATCCTCTCCATATATTTAGTCAGCTCCCTACGAATACATTGTCATTCTTTTTCTTTTTTTAAAACACCACTTGAGTTGATTTTACATGGTAAATTCCTAAATCTGAGAATGTAGAATCAAACATTTGTGCATGCCTTTGTGTTCTTTCCCCATCCCGTGTTAGTGTGGATGTGTGTGTTTCCCACAATTGCCTTCCATAAAGGTTTGATGACATTCCAGTATATGAAAATTCTTTCTCCCTCAAAATCAAACAATTCATTTATTAAATACTAGTAGGCAAAAGAGCTTCAGAGTAAAGTTTTAAACTGTAATTCTTTGCTTTTAAACAATGTTGTCTTCCTCTAGTATGTTTAAATCATTGTATTTCCTTTTCCATGAAAGCTCCAAATACAAAATGTGTTCCGTTTCTATTATCTTCATGCTGTGTTTTGATATATTGAACATACTCTGTTACTATGTACTATATCTTGTGACGTGAACTGTAAATCTGTTTCTTTCCAGTTTTATCAGCTGTCTTTTAACTGTGTTTTTTTTTATTGAGAAAAGGAGAAAAAAAAAGTTTCCACCTCCTCCCAGCCTCCCATTTCCTTCCCCCTCCTCCCACCCTTCTCCCCCTCCTCTCACCCTTCTCCCCCTCCCCCCACTTCTTTCCCCCTCACTCTCCAGTCCAAAGTGCCCTCAGGGTTTTCTGCCCTGTGGTAAGTCCTAGGTCCTCCCCCCTCCGTCCATATCTAGGAAGGTGAACATCCAAACTGGCTATGCTCCCACAAAGTCAGCACATTAAGCAGGATCAAAACCCCGTGCCATTGTCCTTTGCGTCTCATCAGCCCTCATTGTTCGCCATGTTCAGAGAGTCCGGTTTTATCCCATGCTTTTTCGGTCACAGTCCAGCTGGCCTTGGTGAGCTCCCAATAGATCAGCTCCACTGTCTCAGTGGGTGGGTGCATCCCTCGTGGTCCCGACTTCTTTGCTCATGTTCTCCCTCCTTCTGCTCCTCATTGGGACCTTGGGAGCTCAGTCCAGTGCTCCAGTGTGGGTCTCTGTCTCTATCTCCATCCATCACCAGATGAAGGTTCTATGATGATATGCAAGATATTCGTCATTATTGCTCTAGGATAGGGTCATTTCAGGTTCCCTATCCTCAGCTGCCCAAGGAACTAACTGGGGACCTCGGCTTGGGCACCTGGGAGCCCCTCTAGGGTCAGGTCTCTTCCCAACCCTAAAGTGGCTCCCTTAACTAAGAATTGTGGTTCCGTGCTCCCCTGTCCAACCTTCCTTTATCCCAATCCTCCTGTTTTGATGTATATTAGCATACAGAAAACTTGAAATCATATGCTAGAGTGGGATTTGTCAGTCTTACCTTCCTGTAGGTCACAGTTGACAGAACTGTGGCTCGTGGCGGGCTCTTCACATTTTTATTCAGCAGGCGGCAGATGCATAGATTCCACAGTGAACATGAATGCTCATGACCGATCTCAGTCTGCATCACAGAGACCAGGGTAGAATATACTTAGCACTTTTGGAATCTTGAGTGTTCATGTTCACAGATTTGGTTGAATTTAGCACTGATTCTTGTTTTTATTAGTTCGCTGATTTAGATTCTTTTAATCTCTTATGTTATCAGATGTTCATTTCCTCAGACTAAAGTTTTCCACAGTGTTTTTATTCCTTGTTGATATTTGTTAATGGCACATGTAATACTATAGGCTGGAACAATTTTGGTGTTTTATGCCATTGTGTCAAAACTATGTAAAATCTTCCTTTTAAATATGTTAAATGATCATTCTGCTAGCTACATGTGATAGTACGTGTTCACTTATTATATTTGTATAGGGAAATTAAATTAATGAGAAAAATCTTCACCGAGGTCACAGATCAGTCCTTATCCAG